GAACGATGTTTTGCGTCGTTGTCCTGCACAAAGGTCCGCCAGAACCTTGAGCAGATGGAAGTAAATGTCCCTCGAGAATATCGGTGTACCGCTCACTGTTCATATTCCTCTTCAGCATACACTGAGGGCGTTGCCCTAACACAGATATGCCACCCTCATCACGTTAAATTTCGGACTGTACTTTTGGGCGCTGATACAAAGGTTTTACAGTTTGTTTGGTCCAGAATTTCAGTGTATTAGGAAACAGCCACACAGGTGAACTTTCATCTGAGAAAATCAGATTGTCCCAGATTAAAATGTATATGCTGCTTAGGCACCAGTTCAACCTTCGCTCCTTTTGTTCAGGTAGGCTTTCATGATCGGTGATGGAATTCCCCGACTTTTCTGCCAACCCATTGCATGCAGCTCAGTTCTAATTGTCTCCTTACAGACAGCCACAGTTCCTCTATCAATCATATCCAGCCTTATGTTTTCCTAAACTCCTTCGTTTGTTTTAGAAACAAGAATACCAAGCCGCCTCCTGTTACCGACAGTCAATTTTCTGGGCCTCCCTGCGCCTCCCTTGTGCTCAATGTCATATCCATTTGCTATATGTTTCTAAACACGATAAACAGTGGATAGAGGGATGCCTGTTCTGCTTGAAATCACTTTAGCTCATCTGATGTCCTTGTTATAATACTGTAAAATCAACTTCCTCTTCTCTAAATCATCCATACTGAGGATCACTGAAAATGTCGTCTGCTAGCAAGTAAACAAAGGGGATAACTGTTCACAAACTAATGAAAAGGGGATTAATGGAGTTGTCTCTCTTGAATGAAACCAAGCACTTGATAGCTGGTCAAGGTTCGTTTATACTAGAAATCCAATTCAAACATATTCCTAAAATTCTCCATAATTTCTGGTCATACTATATAACAGTCATGCTACTGGCCAATACGACATAGTGAAATAAAATAGTTTTAATTATAATTTAGTTGTTCTACTGTCCTTCGATGGCAGCATTTGAAAAGGTAAATATATTTATTCGTAATATATGACCTTTTGTCATCACGATATGGCTGAAATATTGCCAACGTGACGTAAAGCTTTTAACTCACTAAGTCCTTTGTGTGTGGCCACTGCGACATCATCGCATAATGTTGCCTTAGCAGCATTGTGTTGCCAGAGATTCCGAAATGGATGGGTAACTTACACAAAAGACGATGTCGTATTGGCCAGTAGCAAGATCATTATATAATGTGTTTAAAAGATGATATTTACATATTTAATACTTAAAGGCTTGATAGTGAGTTAGAAAATTATATATAAATTTTATATTCGAGATGTTTATTAATGTATTTAAGAGCTGTTCTAAGATGCCTAGCGGTTAGAACAATCGAAAAAAACAAACATTATCAGACAATATAGGTATAGTTTTTTGATGACGTAACATTTGAATGACGTTATCCCGTCACAGCGTCATTCTAGTGTGCCCCCTCGTAATCGAACCATTTTACATTACGTCACAATGTAAGCGACGTCACGATGCATGTCAGTTGTCATCGCCTCGTACAGCCTCCTACAGTAAACAACTGCGCTGCATCCCGTCTCTTGGTTTGCAGTTGCTTCACTCACCTAACATCACTGGTGGAAACATTACGTTTATGTTTTCTGTTGTTTAAAATGTCTCCATTCGACTCACAAGTTTTCAGCGACACGGTAACGTTCGCAATGTTTACATTCCCACAATGCAATCGTGGAATGTCGCTTGACTACTCAGCTTCGTCTGGATGTACTGATCTAAACATACGTTGGTAGTAGAAAAAACGTAGGGGGGCAGACACATCAATAGAACAGCGCGCCAGTTAGCCCTGTGCGAGGGTTCTTAATTTAGCTCACCGACACCGTTGTTTGTTTTCTGCCTTAAATTAATCGTAATTATCCTTAGAAAGTATTAAATTTGGCATCTTAGAAAAATTAATATGGCAGTTGGTTATGCTGCTCTTACCTGGTAATCGAGAAGATATTGACTTGGAACCAGTGACAATGGCACAAGCAAAGTTCTGCGCCACCAATTCTTGGATCCATCTGTAAATACAGATTCATATGTATTATATTTACGTTTTACTGAATTCTTGTCCATATCGTAAATGTAATTGTTTAGGATTCCTTGAATGTGATTACTGTTAGGTCTACTTGTGGCCGCAACACTTGCCAGGAAGGAGAGGAAATCAGACGGAGATGATATGCTTTCTAGTTTACTGTTAGGAAGATTAATTCGTTTTCGAAGAAGTGGAATAAGTGAAGATTATATACATCTATTCTACAACTCCTCATAAAGTGGATTTATTGTATGCAGAGTGTTGTTTATTGCGGCGTTGGTTGAGCGAATGCTCGTCTGCTTCAAGGTAAACCCTCTTCGGAAAGACAAAGCCTTAGAACTTGGCGGTGTACAGTGTTCATATCAAATTTTGAGCGAACCAGTGATCAATACAGGTGTGCCTACCCAGCTGTTGAATTAGAAATGATTTTCAAGAAATCAAGTGCCTTCAGGTATTTAGCTTTAAGGTGGTTAATATGTGACTGAATTTAAATGGGAGTGAAAATGTAACCTCTTCTCAATTGCCTGCATATTTTTTCCACGGCAACAAACATTAGCGTTGAATTTGTTGTGACTGACTCTCTATTGTATGCATATTTTTAGAATATTAAGATCAAGCGACTGAATCACTTGAAAACTTTCAAAGACTATTTATTTTAGTACTAAATAAAATGACAGACAAGATACTGCCCTGCAGAATACACTGACTGTGATTATAATGGTCAAACAGAGCTGAAATGAATCTGACTTGAAATTGCTTGTCTGTTAAAAACTGTGATATGAGATAAACCAAAATCATGTAAATCAATTGAAATTCCCTGCTTCCAAGCAGCATTGTATGTTTTCTCAAGATCAAGGAAATATGAAACGAAATACTGTTCAGATACTATGGTATTAAATTTCAGACATGATTCGGGTAAATGCTTCAAGAGCTTTATGTTGTATATTAATAGCCCCTGTTGCTGTATCATGAGCTTGCTCAAAAGGACATTACAGAGCTCATGTTGTGAAAACATTTCGTTGTAGTTCTGGCTTCATAGGTTTGAGAATGGTGTGGAAGGAATCATTGTACTCCATGTACTGTCTTGAAGTAAAGATACCTGTATTTTTTTAAGATATATTTATTGAAGACACTGATGGTTGGTAATCCTGAATCAATGATTTTTCTTGGTTGAATGCCTCGTTCTTTAAAGTTGAGATATTTCTCAGTGCAGCGCTCAAGGAAGGGCAAATAATGTACAAGCACTGTCACTAAGGTGACACAAATCCCCGCAGCAAATTATCAAATCAAACTAAAAAAGTAATAAAAGTGAAGGTCGTAGTTTAAGATGAAATTAAATGCTGTGTAGTTGTTCAAACACACAAATATTTTCAAGACTCACTTTGACCTTGACATGAATGTCATGGTGTATGAAACATGCCAAAATAGTAATAAACAGAAGTCGTGAAAGTCTATGTAGAAAATCTTAACATGCAATGTAACATGCTGAAATCTTCAAAGTGTCACCGTGACCTTGAAAATTATGTGAAGGTCACCAATATCAACTGGGCCCGGCGCCTTCCCTTGATGAAGTGAATGGTACTTGAGGTATCTCACTGACAAGCTTAACATGCTGAAATCTTCAAAGTGTCGCCGTGATCTTTAAAATAACGTGAAGGTCACAAAAATCAACTGGGCTCTGGGCCTTCCCTTGATAAAGTTTGGTGTCAAATATGAAGAAGTCGAGTGAATGGTTCTTGAGGTATCTCGCTGACAAGCTAATAATGCAGGTTAACATGCTGAAATCATCGAAGTGTCACGGTGACCTTGAAAATTATGTGAAGGTCACCAAAATCGACTGAGCTCTGGGCCTTCACTCGATAAAGCTTGGTGTTGAATATACAGAAAGTCCAGTGAATGGTACTTGAGATATTTTGCTGACAAGGGTAAAAGGTTTAAGTCCCCTTGTGACCTTGAAATGACTAGGACCTTTTTTATACTGTGATGAACCTAAGTACCAGATATGAAAAGAATCTCGTGAAAGGTTCTTAAGAAATTCCAATTCGTACGTATGGACGGACGGACGGACGGACGGAGCCTAATACTATATCTCCCGCTTCGCGCTAAACGCGCGGCGGGGGATGATAATAGATACAAAATACGTTAATCTGTATGTTTATACTTTCTGTATCTACTTGTTTAGCCACAGACCCATGCCTCAGCTCACCATGTATCAATGGAAGGACATGTGAGAAGGCTTCCGGTACAAACGGCTTCCGTTGTAGATGTAAGGTCGGATTCCAGGGACTATCTTGTGAAAAAGGTAACCGACATTTGGTGCATTTGTATGACTCATCAAGCAGCATCGTGAACAGTAGTACCGTATGCGACTACTGATGTTGACAGTCAGCGATAGGTCATGTTCTAATAATGAGTGAGAATTAAAATGTATCTTCACATTGGCAATATTTCAGCCATATCGTGACGAGAACAATTAATTGTTATACATAGTAATCAAGGGTAAGTTATAAAAACCTGTCAACGAAGGACAGTAAAATAACTACATTATCACAGATATGAATTTAAAACTAGTAATCAAATCTAAAACAGTTTAACTTTAGATGACAATACAATATAAAAACAGGCTATAGATTGCCAACAACTGAAGGTAGATCACCATACTAGGGACCATGGGGGCTTACAGTACATGTGCTTCCTGTGTTCTAATAATGACCGGAGGGATTGCAATGTAGACTAGTGAAAAAAATAGCTCTTCGTCAACGTCCAACTGAAGGAGGGCAGATAAACAGTCCAAAACGTTGGGGAAAATAGGGTTGTATTAGGTAGCATGAACTGCCACAAGTAGCTAATATCACAGTATTTTGAATTATTGTTTTGTATCACAAAACCTCGAACAATAATCCGGTCTGTGTACACATAGGGTGAATACATGTATTTTCCAAAGAAAGTTTTTTTTATTCTGAAATCTATAAGGACAGTTTTTTATTGCTTTTGTGTTCATCGTATGCCAAAGTAGTATGTTAGATTTGCAATATCCGGAATAACATAGAAGCTCTTTCTTCTTCGATTCGTCCCCTGTTTTGATTTAATTGTGTGAACATGGGTATATAAATCAATTTTGTATAGTGATCGTGCCAGGTGTTCGCGGAAAGGTGTTCGTGAACGAACCTTTCCCCAAATGTTAACCACACACACACACACACACATCGCCCAGCACTCCAGAGGAAAGGAAATTGGGGTAAGTCAGTGAGTGAGTGAGTGAGTGAGTGAGTAAAGACTTAACGTCACATCGGCAATTTTTCAGCCATATCGTGACGAGGAAAAATTGGACATTTATAAACAATATGTATATATTATAAAACCTGTCGTCAAAAACAGTAGAACAACTAGACTATCACAGACACAAAATATAAAACTAGCATCTATCTCTAAAACTGGATTTCAAATTAGGACAATACAATTAAAACGGGCTATAGATCACCAGCACCAGAACCTACAGTACCTTGCCACCTGCTGGATTTACACCATCCCCTCAGACGCTAGCGATTGTAAAAAAGTTATGCGATAACTTTAAATCACACAAATGCTACGTTTAGAAATTCTGGTAGGTTGAAATGTACTTTGAAGGTTTTTGGGACTTACGTATAATTGGGGTAATTTGTTAATTGCAAAATAGAAAATATATATATATGATGTGATCAAACTGGGTAGTTGCTTCTGACATCACCCTTGCCACTGATGCATCAAATAAGGTAAACTTACCAACGTATCTACTAAACAGAACTGAGGCCTTAAACGTTGCACCAACGATCACAAACATTTGACGCAATAAAGTATTCCAAGAAACAAGTTCCTATATTGTACCAAACGTCTTTACACATTAAATAAAGTAAACTTACCGACGTGTCTACTAAACAGAACTGAGACCTTAAACGTTGCACCTACGATCACAAACATTTGACTCTCTTTGAAATCTTTCGAGAAAAAAAAAACATGCTGTATTGTACCAAACGTCTTTACGCGTCCATGTCCAAATTCGGTTTACGGATGAGTTTAGGTATGCTCTCTCTTCTGTCCTTGATGAAGCTATTTGGACACGCCTGTACACGTCAAACAATAACAAAATGTCATCTTAGCATGTTCGAATCCCAAATTACAGATTTGATATGACTACTGATTTGACAGTAAGGCTTCTTGGTGTCTAAATGATGCTAAATAGCTGAGATCGTATCACTTCACGAATTACTACCAAATTGAGGCGATGGGGTACCGTTGTGTGATTAAAGCGTTCGATTGTCACGCCGAAGACCCGGGTTCGATTCCCCACACGGGCCCAATGTGTGAATCCCATTTCTGGTTTCCCCGCATTGATATTGCTAAAAGAGACAGAAAACTAAACTCACTCACTCACCACTCGCCAACTATGATGGCAGGCTGTAATATTATCAACTTACTGGACATCATTCGAGACTCACTTCTAAGGGTCACGTTGTTCAAAATTGGGACCTGACTCATAGTTTGCAATACTATGCCTACCTCAGCGACGTAGACCATAAGTCTGCGATCAAGAAATTTCTGCCTGGCCTTAATTTGCTCATTTACGCATTGACGTGCTGTGGCATAAAATAGAATCAACTGACTTGTACTCGCTGATGTTCCACCTTAATTGGTTGTACAAGCAATAATTATGTTCATGACACATGCTTAAGCACCTACTCAGATAACACGCTTTTATTTTTCAGAATGTGAACAAAAGAGTCTCGACATTCTTCTCATAGAAGATGTTTCTACATCAATCGGGGAAGAAAATTACAAGAAAATAAAGGACTTTGAAGTTGAATTGGTCAGTGCTTCTCACATCGTGTCCGAAACCGTAAATGTGGCTCTGATGACCTTTGCAGGAAAGGCAAAGTTGGTGTTTCCACTCAAGTCATACCGGGACAACAAAACAGCTGCTGTTCAAGCAGTTAGCGTTCCCCAAAATGAAGGCGGTTCGACGTTCCTTGGTGATGCTATCAATATGGCTGTATCTGATGTGTTTGTCGAGAGCAATGGCGACCGCCCTGATGCTGAAAATGTAGTAATCCTATTTACGGATGGCCAAAGTGGTAAATCGTCTGTCATTTCCAAGAACATTGAAAGTCTTCATGCAGAGGCAACTGTCTTTGTTGTTCTCATGACCGCAGGAGTAAACAATGCTACCATAAGCATGGTTCCGTCTCCTCCCTATAAAGACCATGTCTTCCTTTTAAGCAATCCTCTGGCCCTTGATAAAATCAAGGAGAAAACCATCTATGAGAGGTGCGGATTGACCATGATCTGAGAGTTCCGAGAATAAACCTCATGTAAGCCATAACAGAAGTTTTGTTATCATTTAAAGATCACTTCTGTCTCAGAAGTAAAGACATTAACGCCATTTCCAAGCCAGAATGGCATTGCTTAAACCATGGATTTGCATGGACGTGCCAAACCGCACAAACAGGGCCCCGTTTCACAAAGCTCTCGTAAGCCTAAGATCTCGTAACTTTTCTCGTAGCATTCGTATCTCATATGTTACAGTATAGGAGGTACGAATGTTACGAAAAAAAGTGCGAGATCTTGATCTTGGGCTTTAAAAGTTTTGAAACCTGATCAATAAGAGGCGAATAACGGCATCGGATGGTCAGGCTTGCTGTCTTGCTTGGCACATGTCATCGTGTCGCCAAATTGTGTAGATTGTTGTTCATGCTGTTGATCACTGGATCGTCTATAGTGAGTGAGTGAGTTTAGTTTTACGCCACACTCAGCAAAATTCCAACTATATGGTGGTGGTCTGTAAATAATCGAGTCTGGCCAGACAATCCACTTATCAACAGCATGAGCATCGATTTGCGCAGTTGGGAACCGATGAAATGTGTCAACCAAGTCAGCGAAGATGACCTACCGATGCCGTTAGTCGCCTCTTACGACAAGCATGGGATACTGAAGAGCAGTATTCTAACCTGACCTTCACGGGTCTGTGATCTGTGGTCTGGCCCTGGTAAGTCCATCTGCGAACTGCTTCAACAACGTCATTTGGATCACAGCCGGGATGGTCCAACATAATGATCAGAAACCTCTGCAGTATTGTGTGTTGCATTCAGTTGCAAGAATGAGTGAGTGAGTTAAAATTTAACGTCATATCGGCAATATTTGAGCCATATAGTGACGAGAACAAAGTTAGTATATTTGATAAATATCTGTTACGAAGGACAGTAAAACGTTAGCAACGTATCACAGAATGCAAGTATAAAAATCTAATTATTTCCAATTCTAAAATGCAACTCGATGTGACATATATTAACATTAAAACACGGGCTATGGACCACCAACAACCAAAGCTAGGCCACCTTACTGGGGTTCATGGGGACTTACAGCACTTCAGCTTCCTGCATGAATCCCCAGCAGGATTTACACCGTCACTTCAGCCACTGGTAGTTATAAACAGTGCTAGCCAGACATTAAAACAATACAATTGAAGCAAGAACATTCCGGTTGTCTGCAATGTACTATAATACTATTATGCAACCATAAGGGGACGATCTTTTTACAATTCTTCAACCCCAATAAAGAGCAATATAATCACAGTTTTTGATTACATCAACCTCAGTTAAAACATATCCATTCAAAAACTACTGAACAATCCTATCTCTTTTAAAAAACCTGTAATTAAATGAGAATTGATTGTGTTAAAAAGACACTTTAGATGTGAAACTTGGTAATATGTATCCCTTATGAGAGAAAATTCCACACAGTCAAAGCAAAAACGTGCTTGACCGTGATTAATCTCATCACAAAGGGATACAAAACGGAGGATCTTCCCCTTTCAATAAATATTCATTTGTATATCTGCTGTGGCCAATACGACATCGTCGTAATATGAACTCATCAAATCTGGACTGACAGCCCAAGTAGGTGTAACCGATATTTGGTTTTATTGCATGTAATTTATTGATACCTACTTGGGTGTCCACTGCTTTTGCATGGTATCTCTGATATAGCACCTTATGATAGGTTTCATATCGCTGTATAGGATCTGAAGTGGTGTCTCAGATTTGTCGAGTGCTGCTTTGGCAGTTGTATCTGCCATTGTGTTACCATGAATTCCAACATGGCTTGGTATCCAACAGACGACGATGTCATATTGACCAGAAACAAGTTCATTATGCAATTCAATAATTGCAGTTAAAAGTGGATGTTCATATGCCATGTTATTTATGGCTTCAAGACACGAAAGAGAATCAGAAAAATATTATATACTGGTTAGACTGTGATTGACTTTTTAAATATTTTAAAGCTATTAAAAATGGCATATGCTTCCGCAGTAAAATGGAACAGTGAGCAGGTATTCTGGATGAGAGAATCCTGGATCAATGACAGTGGCACTGGCAACAGCCCCGCCATCCTTGGATCCGTCTGTAAATATAACTTTGTAAGTATCATATGTGTTTCTTAGGTGGTTATATTCTTGCTGATACATAAGTTGATTTGTTTCTGATTTTGTTTTGTTTAGTTAATGTTAAATCCACTTCTGGTTTTACAAGCTGCCATGGTGGGGAAGACAGAAGTTGAGTAGGGGCTATATTGTCCAGATTAATGTTAGCTGCAGAAACATCACTTTGTTTACGTATTCCAAGGGGTTGGACAAGAGAAGGTTTCTTTGTGTACAGTTCTTTATAAAGATGATGGAAAACACAATCATACGCTGGATTGGATTCCACAGAACGTAATTTAGTGATATATACTGCAAAGCTAATTGAATGCGACGTTGTTTAAGTGAGGGCTCATCAGCCTCCACATATAAACTATTGATCGGCGAAGTTCTAAATGCTCCAAGGCAAAGCCTGATGCCTTGATGATGAATACAGTCTAGTAATTTTAAATTGCTTTTACAAGCCCCACCATAAATGATGGAGCCGTAATCAAGTTTAGATCGGATAAGCGCCCTGTATAGTTGGAGGAGGGTTTTCTGATCTTCTCCCCACTCTGCATTGGAAACTACCTTTAATATGTCAAGTGCCTTCAGACATTTAGTTTTTAAGTATTTTACATGAGGTAAAAAGGTCAGATGGTGATAAAAAATACCGCCCAGAAACTTGGCTTCTTTCACAACTTTGATAGGGTGCCATCTAAATTTAATTCCTGGTCTTTGTGTGGTTTATACTTTCTGCAAAAATGAATACAACTGGTCTTGGATTTCGAGAATTTAAATCCATTTTCAAGACACCATTTGTGGATTTTATTTAAACATAATTGCAGTTGCCTTTCAATAGTATGAATTTGTTTACCTCGACAAGAATCAGTTGCAAGACATGGTTTATATACTATGTGCACTTACAGCACAGACACGTCAGCGACGTAAAACCATACTCACTCACTCACTACGTAGGCGTTGCAAGGTTATATTCTTCACCGTGTGTAACTGTTAACACCTGATGTCACTCATTGTGTTGCAGATAACACTATGTCATGGTTGCACACAAAAAGCTTTAAATGTTAAGTTCCCTGTATTCTTCAAAACATACGGTATACTTTTGAATTAGGAGAATTCTAATTCCAATAACATTACATTTGTGAAGCAAATAAATCGTGCAATGTTGTAAATATGTCTGTAATTACTGATTAAGAATGGACGGCTGGTATAGGTCACACGAAGGGATGACAATAGCTTTTTGGTTTGACTCGCGTATATATCTCAGTATCTATCAAAAATTAAGTGTTAGTCCAGGACTGAAGAAATACGTAAATATATACATGGAAAAAAGTATCGCAAAACGTATTTAACAGCCATGTTGGCTATCTATATATTTATCTATATTAATATCTATATTTATATCATATAATATCATATAATCTTTGTGTTTATATTGTTTAACCATTCGGGCGCTCCATTTTATATTTGTGTGAGTGGGTGAGCGAATGTTGCATATCGCCGCATCAACAATGTTGCAGCTATTCGTGACGAGAAAACGTCTCCCGATGAATTGATGTTGAAAATCACTACAATATCAGTCAAGTATCACATTCAAGGGTAAAAAACTGATGTCTGAAATAAAAACCTATATTTTTTACATACAGTTTGATTTATTTTACATATGCTAAAATCGAGTGGTTAGAACATCGTCATAAAAACGTTGTCTATATGGGAAATGTCAACACATTCAAGCAAAATGCGCTTAATAGTAATCGGTCTATGGCAAGGGATGCAAAAACGGCGGAGCTTCTCCTTTCAATCATTCTATGATTGAGATCCATGTGAAGCATCACGTGCGATACCTGCACCCGTCAGCAGTACGTCCTTGAAGGGGGTTGAAGTATCGTAAAATTATTGTCCTCCTGAGAGGGTACGTAAGTCCCAAAACTTTTGAAGTCAATTTAAACTTACCAGGATTTTAAACGTAGTATTCTTGTTATTTTAATTTTTTTGCTAACATTGCAGTACAATCGCCAACAGCTGAAGGGATGTTGTAAATCCAACTAGGGTCCATGCAGGTAGCAAATGTACTGTAAGTCCCCATGGTCCCTAGTATGGTGAACTTCCTTCAGTTGTTGGCGATCTATAGCCCAGTTTTATATTGTGTTGTCCTCCATAGTTAAAATGTTTTAGATTTTATTACTAGTATACATTTGTATCTGTGATATTCAAAGTCAAAGATATGTATTGTACTTAAGGCCTCCGGCCCATATACAAGTAATACAAGTATATATACAGCACATGTTACAGACATTTCACAAAGGAATTACAGTTCAGATAAGATATTGCTTCTAAGGAAAACAGCATGTTTTACATAAAGCGCAAGATTACGTATTACATTTTCATTTTTGGAAGATAGAATGGAAGCAAGGCAGATGAAGGATATTTTAACAGGTAATTATTTGGGATATTTTTTTTTCTTAAATCAGCATAATGTGGGCATACAAAAGCGAAGTGAATTTCATCTTCTATAGCCGAGTTACATAATGGACATATCCTTAAACGTCTCTCTATTGAAAATCGTCTGCCCTTATTTACTGATAAGTCTAACAAGCCCAATCGAAAATTGACAAGTGTGCGTCTGATATTTCTAGATGTCAATACAGATAGATATAGTTGTGGTTGAATTAAGCTCTTATGTGATCTATACAACTGGTATCTTGAACTATTGTCTAGACAGGAATGCCATTCTTGATAATACATGCTAACAGATTGTTCTCGAAATTGCTTAAGAAATAGATTAATATTACCAACTGTTTGATTTAGCCACACAAATCCAAAGCCATGAGAAAATAAAAGAGTTCTAATATGAGACGCCCATGTTGTCTTACCCCTATCATCTAAATGTACAAGCATGTTATAAG